GAGTATATTATTAAAAAGAAAGTGAAAAGTAGGAAGAACTAAATTTTTGAGAAATAAGCATCAGATACTGTGACTTTGAAGCTGGCTTATTTTCCTAAACATATTAACCTCGACTGATGACTGTTAGCCAAGCTCAGATAAAGAAATTAAATTGCCATTACTTGAAGATTGAAAACTAACACAGGTAGGCCTTGACTTACGACTACAACTGAATGCCAAATTTCCATTGCTAAGCAAGGCAGTTGTTAAGTGAGTTTTATGACCCTTTTTGCAACAATTGTTAAGCAAATCATTGCAATTGTTATCCGAATCACAAGACTGTGAAGTGAATCTGGCTTTCCCCTTTGACTTTGCTTATCAGAAGCTGGTTGAGAAGGTTACAAATGGTGATTCCATGACTTTAGGACAATGCAACTGTCAGAAATACATGCCAGTTGCCAAGGGCCCAAATTTTGATTGTGTGACCATGGGGAAGCTGAAAAATGGTCACAAGTCACTTTTTTCAGTGCCATTGTAAATTCAAATGGTCCCTAAATGAATGGTTTTCAATCGAGGACTTCCTGTACCTGAAACCATAAGGTAAGAAAAAAGGTGAACACTTGGTTAATATAGCATACCATAACATGATCTTAGTGAATAGCTTGCTATCAACTACCCATCTGAATATTTTTCTATTTTAGTGGAAACATTTAAAAAGCTAACAGTTTCTTGATTGTTAAATTGGCAATCTTAAGAATGTACAGTATTATGAGGTCATAATGAGGTTACAAAGTCAGCATGTTACCCCCAACAATCTGGGTCCTCATTTTGCCAACCTCGGAAGGATGGAAAATTGAGTCAACCTTGAGCTGGTCAGGATTGAACTGCTAGCAGTTGGCAGAGTTAGCCTGAATAGAGTTAGAATGAATACTTCATTCTAACCACTGTGCCACCATGGCATATGGTTTAGACAAATTTATTTGATCAGCTGGTTTAACTTAACCAAGAAAACTTGGTTACTTCATTGTGTTTTACTTCATTTATATTTATATGATGAATCATATTCATAACCTGGAATCTAACTGAATCCAATGCAACATTGGGAATATTTTCAGTTAAAAATTGTTTTCTTTTTCTTTTGTCAATAAACACTTGCATTTCAAAACGATTTGCCTAAATTGTCCAAACATTGTCAATGTTTCGCTAATCCTAGTTTTAGAACACCAGTATTTCTATTCTGCTAGATGTATTGTTTTAGCAATTTCAGAAGTCATAGAAGAGAGCCTGGAGTTACATCCAGATTTTTATACACTCTAAATATTAGATATACTGTAAAGAGGAGAGCTGGCTTCCTTTGGTGATATAGAAGAACAGTTTATAATTCTATCAGCACTAAAACTTTGGTGCAATCCATTTTACATCCTATGGAAGAATAGATCCCAATGCATTTTAGTGGAATTTGCTCCTGAGCACATGTATAATCATAACCTTCCTGTGTTGGAATTTAGATTGCTTTTCCTTTTGACATTTAAACCACATCTGCCTAAAAATGAAGACAGAAGTCCACTGAAAGTAGAGATTTATTTTCAGTTAAAACACTTGCTTCATTAAAACCACATGTCAGCAAGTAGCACATGAGCAAACGTATGAGTTTAGGCTAAGGCACATGGTGCAAAAGCTGTGCTGAGTACTGCACTTTATTTTTTAAACAATATTAGCTGTTAACAACCACAGTATAGTCATAGAATGACTACAGCAAGAGTTCTGGGTGTGAATGGAAGAGTTCTCTAATATAGCAAAAACAAAACCGATTATGGTATGTGTTTTAAAGAATTCCTCATTTGGGAGATGTTTTTCTCTTTCAAATCAAGAGGCATTTCTAATGCAACTAGGAAGCCCAGCTTTTGGAAAAGCAGAAATTTGTCATTAAATGCTTGTTTTTATTCTTCCCAACACAATGAAATATTGGAAATAAATTATATAATGTTGGCGTTCCAAGTAATGCACCCATTGAAAGCAGAACTCCGAAGCAGGTATATTCCTCAAAGAACCATTTACTGGATACATCATATTGGCCCAAGTGGTGAAAACTGACTCTGAAAGTTCCAGCGGTTTTCACCTAATTAAAAAGTAAAAGTTCCCCTTTCCCCCAGGTCATTGGTCACATTGTCCAATAGTGGTGCTAGCAGGTTGACTGGTTACTCCACTTCTCCTTTTCTCAGCCACCTGTTGGAATGAGCTTGGTTCCCACAAGAAAACTTTTTGTTTTGATGGCCAAGCCAAACTATCTAAAATTCTTTCCTCCCTTTCTTCCCCTTCGCTTTGTGGCAACCATGAAGACTCAAAGATGGCTTCAGCCAAAATTGCTTCAGGTTTGATATATATAGTATAGTGGGAGAAGCTGGCAAGGGAAATACCAAGTTTTTTGGGGGAGAAACAGTTAAGTTCAGGGACTCCTGAGGAAAAAAAAATCATCCTCCCCAAAATCCTCCACTGGTTCTTTGAGCCAAAGCTCACAATGCTGCTGACAATAGAGAGTGTAGAGACTGTAGAGAGTTAGGAAGATGATCTTGACAAAGTTAGGTCAGATCTGTTACCAAAGCCTTACCAAAACATAGCTTAAATCCAAAAAAAAAAAAAAGCAAAAAGTATGCATAAGCTTGCTCAGATAGAAAGCACCCTAATTCACATGGATAAAATAGCAATAGCACTTAAAGTTATATACCACTTCACAATGCTTTACAGCCCTCTGTAAGCAGTTTTCAGAGTTAGCATATTGTCCCCAACAATCTGGGTTCTCATTTAACTGACCTTGGAAGGATGGAAGGCTGTGTCATCTTTGAGCTGGTCAGGATCGAACTCCTAGCAGTGGGCAGCGTTAGACTGCAGTACTGCATTTTAACAACTGCTCCACCAGGGGAGAAAGCACAGCATAAGCAGACTTGCAAGATTCTATTATTATAGCCACCCTCAATAGAAGTATTCTTAGCCTTCATGTGGAGTTGATTCTTAGTCTGGTCTTTCTGGTAGGCTGACAATCGTTTGTTCTGAGTTGCCACCCTTGACTCATATGACACAGAATAAAGTGTCTGCAACCTGTACTGTGTTTCCCAGGGTATTTATGTATACAAACATGCCAAGACATAAAACAAAGGAAAAAACAGACTTAATGCTTCCTTTTGTTGTGCACAATATATAGATGCCTTGTGTGGCTATTTTTGGTGTTGGGGCTGGAGAAATTCCAGCTGTCACGATTTAAATGCCTTTCCTAACTTTTAAAATGCACTTTAGCTAGATTTTTCAAAATGTTTGAGCTTTCAACCATAAATGAATAAAATATGTGTGAGCCCCATAGAACACCATTTTAAATAACAGTATCCCAGGTTATAATATTTATAATATACTTGAAAATTTGGGCTTGGACAACCTTGAACTATGCCACCTACGGTTGGACTTAAGCATAGTACACAGAATTATCTGCTACAATGTCCTACCAGTCAATGACTACTTCAGCTTCAACCGCAACAATACAAGAGCACACAACAGATACAAACTCAAGGTAAACCGCTCCAAATTTTATTGCAGAAAGTACAACTTCAGCAACAGAGTGGTCAATACCTGGAATGCACTACCTGGCTCTGTTGTTACATCCTCAAATCCCTACTCCTATTCCACTATCACCCCATTCCTAAGAGGTCTGTAAGGGGTGTGCATAAGTGCGCCTATCGTCCCTGTCCTATTGTCCCCATTTATTCATAACTATTTCCTGTATTCTTACTCATGTTTATGCTTATACCTATTATCTTGTAAGCGATTGACAAATCAAAGCAAATCAATAAATAAACAAACAAATAAACAAACAAACAATAGGTAAGGCTTACAAAGAAATCTAATTATAGATTTAACAAAAGTAAATATAAAAGCAATTAAAAATCAGTGTATAGCTACAATTTATCTGTATGACACATGCCACATCCCATTTTTTTAAATCCAGAAGACAGGGAGTGGGGGGGGAGAAGGTGAGAGTCCCGAATTGTAATTTGGTTAGTGTTACCCATAGGAATTACTGGTGAGATCCCAAACAATAAATCTATGTTTGTGGAGTTCTGTGTTTTGGAGACCTGAGATTGATTTATTATTTTTGCCATTGCTGTCACATTTTTTTCCATTTTTTTTAAGTTTTGCAACTTTTGTCACACTTTTTGTGCTCATGGTATATTGGTGCCCCTGTAAAAAGAGCTAATTTTTGTGGGCCAGGTTTCCTATGTGAATAAGTCAATTGGAAGGAGAGCTCTCTGAGGGGTGGCTTTGAAGGGTTTTTTTGAAAATGGCTCTTCTAAAACAAAACTTTTAAAGATTCCTTTGTGTTCATTTCTCTACTTCCTCCTGATGACATTACAAAAACAAGTTCAAGTTGTTAGAATACCAATTAAGTGGAGCTACACGTGGAAATGTGTAGCATCCATATCACATTTCTATAATCATCCATTGATTATCAAATGTAAAATGAATGTTACATGAATGTAAAATTCTCTGAGCTCTACTTTGTACTTTAACAAATGTTTTTGGTTGACTTAGATTAAAGTGTTTAATTCCAATATCATTCACAATACATGTTTCTGAACAGATAGGCACATTTTACAAAAATATTATGAGCTTGTGGCCAAGAGTCTATGATAGCGTCAGTTTGTTTCCCACCGTTCTTTTAGTTTTCCAGGATGTTGTTTGGATCACTTTTGTTTGGATCACTTTTTATCTTTATTTTTTGACAGATTTCCAAATAAAGCAATGGGCTTCAACAAATGCCTTTATTTTTAAAGAATGACTTCTGTGGTACATGGGGCATGCTTGGAAATAAAGATATTGTGAGTGCCTGTCACTTTATTTTTCATCCCCGTTCATTCATAGCCTTCAACTAAGCATTGGAAGCCAGCATAAACAGCAAAATGCTGCTGCAACAAAGGTAGATTTGGTGATATTCCCATTTGCGCAGGGATTAACATTTTATCTCATTTCTTCAGATGTTTCACGATGTGTGGCAGAGAGGAAATACACCCAAGAACAAGCACGCAAGGAGTTCCAGCAAGTATTCATCCCAGAATGCAGTGATGATGGGACTTACAGCCAGGTTGATTGAAACAATTCTTGATTATTCATTTGACCTATTTCTTTCTCTGCTTAATTCTTTTTTTTCTGACTCTGAGCTACCACTGATTGGTTCTAAAGTGCTCTGCGTTGTTTCTGAAATAAAAACAGCGCATAAGAAGATATCTAACTGTTAAATTCCTGAGTTCTAAAGAATGTTAAGATGAAGATCTCATGCCACTTCCAGCAGCATTGTGAAAGTGTCGCTTGTTTCCTGTCTCATTTCTTGCAAGTGTTGTAAAAACTCGGCCAGATATATACAAGGATATCCAATGTTGCATTAGTACATTTCTGCTATTTCTGATTGTCTCTTCCTTTCCCCCCACCCAGTAGAATCCTGTATGTTCTCAAAAGTTAGTTTGGAAGTTTGAGGACTCTCCAGAAAAAAATTGTAAGGATGTATAGAAATCTGGAAACTCCATTACGTTGTGGATAGAAGAAACTCTACTAATGCAAACATGTTATGAAATTCTATTGAAAGTTGGGTTACCATCTGTTGAATTATTTATTTATTTTAGCTAATAGTGAATGTTTGTTAAAAAGCACAGGCATATTTTACAGCACAAACTGTGGAGTCCTTGGTACTCTTTGAGCTTGGTTGTTTGCTTACAGATGTTTCACAATCCAACATCATCAATGCTAGTGACTGTGAAATTACATAAAATCGCTTGCTCTGACAGTATTGGTGGGAGTGTAATTTTCTCCTTGGCAGTTCCTTGATTAGGGTATTGTTTTCTGCTTGATTTTTTGGCTGGTATTAATCACTGCTTCCCTGAGTATAGGATCCCTAAATAAGAATTTTTATTGTATTTTATGATTGCTAGTTGGTGTTCATGGATGCATCCTGTTAAGTCTTCTGCCGGTCTGTCCATAAAATAGTTGTTACATTCCTTACCCTGTATGTTGTAGATGACTTCTATTTTTTCTTCTTCTTGGGTTACTGGGTCTTTTAAGGTGTTTTTGAAGTATTAATTTTGTTTGTATTCTACAGTAATGCTGTGTGATTGTAATTGTTGATTATTTTTGAGATGTTTTTGATGTATAACAATATTATTCTTTTCATAGCTTGTGTTGGTTGTGCTGTGATGGGTTGAGTGGTCAGGCACTTTTTATAAAGTTGCATGGATATACATTTTTTGGGAAGATGTTAAATATATAGTCTCTTTTCTTTTTGTGTTATGTTGTGTTCTGTGTTGGTGAAGTACATTTGTACTTATCTGAATAATGTTCTTACACAGCTCTTCTTGTGGGAAGTTGGGTTGTTACTTTGGTAATGGAGCACTAGGTTAGTGTGGGTTGTCTATAAAAAAAACTAGTATGAGTTCTCTATCAAACCAAAGACACAGTAACGCAACAAGAAGAAAAACAGGAGTCATCCACAACATATAATAGAAAGACCTGTAACAGCTACTTTGCAGGTTAGACAATCAGAAGATTAGCAGAGGGCATCCATGAACACAAACTTGCAATCAAAAAATATGAAAATCCTTAATCTCACAACTCATGGACAGATTCAACCATAGTTTCTTCTGGAAACATTCTGGACCAGACTACATCCAAAAACATTAGGGAATTCCTGAAAGTTTGACATTTAGACAAATCAGCCATTAACAGATATATAGAGACATATCACATTTATACATCATTCAAAACAAATAATATAAGGAGTAAAAAGGACACATCCTTTCCAGCAGCCTATGTCTAGATAAGCAGGGTTTAATATCAAATAAAAAATCAAGCAGAAAACAATACCATAATCAAGTAAGTACCAACAAGAAAATCACAACCCCACCAACATTGTCAGGGCAAGTTATGTATGTAAACAGGGAACAAACCCCACACCACAAGCACTGATGATGTTACCTAGTTTGGTAATGAAATGTCTGCAAGAAAATAACCAAGCACGAGTGAGTATTGAGATAAATATCCATTCCACAGTTTAGTAGAGTACACAAACACAAGAAAGAGATGTTTGTGATTTATGAACAAGGAGTCATGGGTCCTGGATTTTGCATGCATTTTGTTAGCTCATATGAAGCGTTTTGAATCAAAAGTATTGTCCTATGATTTATCTTTTCACTTAGTTAAAGATCATGACAATGACAGTTTTAGTAGTGTATTTATTTATTTATTTATAAAATTTACAGGCTACTCATCTTACCTCAAGGTAATTCTGGGCAGATTATATAGATGGAAAGTGGCATTTATTTATTTAAAGTATTTATATTCTGCCTGTTATTTATGAGCTCAAGGCAAAACACTCCCTCCTCATTAGGTAATTAGGACCGCAGAAAAAACAGTTACTACCAACCTGCCTTCCATTGAGGACCTGTATACTGCATGAGTCAAAAAGGGGGCTCTGAAAATGTTTATAGACCCCTCAAATCCTGGACATAAACTGTTTCAACTCCTACCTTCAAAACAACGCTATAGAGCTCTGCACACCAGAACAACTAGACACAAGGACAATTTTTTCCCAAATGCCATCACTTTGCTAAACAAATAATTCCCTCAACACTGTCTAATTATTTACTACTAAGTCTGCATTACTATTACTATTAATCCTCCCATCCTTCCTTTCACCCATCTCCTCCCACTTATGACTGTATGACTGTAACCTTGTTGCTTGTATCCTAACAATTTATATTGACTGTTTCCTAGTATGATTTGATTGCTTATTGTACCCTATGACTATCATTAAGTATTGTACCTTATGATTCTTGACTCTTGACGAATGTATGTATTTTTTATTTTATGTACACTGAGAGTATTTGCACCAAGACAAAATCCTTTTTGTATCCAATCACACTTGGCCAATAAAGAATTCTATTCTATTCTATTCTATTCTATTCTATTCTATTCTATTCTATTCTATTCTATTCTATTCTATTCTATTCTATTCTACTCTACTCTACTCTACTCTACTCTACTCTATTCTCTTCTATATAAACAACCTATTGAGAAACAAAGGGCTGAGAGGGAGAATAGCTGTCCCAAAGTCATCCATAGAGATGTTTTTGTCTGGAGTGAACCAAAGCCTGGGTCTTCATTGCCCTACCCCATAAACACTAAAACAAACTAATTCTCATTCCACCATTGATTTGTGCTTTTGGAAATAAGGGAAATAAGAGAAAGGTGATCTAAAGCTGCAGCTTTTTGAAGAAATATTTCTTCTTTACTGGTATTGCCCCAAATTGTCAAAAACCTAAGCCTAATTCATATTACATCACCATAATATATTAATTTGAGAAAGGTTGTGAGTCATTTTTAATTTGAAATTCAACATACTCAACTCTGGTTGAACAATCAACTCAGATTGTATCATTTTATTTTTCTGTCCATGCAAGTTAGGAGGGGAAAAAAAGACTAAATGAGCTGTCAGTAAATGTCCGCTGGAGATATTATTCGTGATTCCCCAATCAGATCATGGGGTTCGGCTTTTGTCTATTCTCATTCAAGTTTCAAGCTACATCCATTTAATATAATCCTTAAAAACAAATGAACCTATTGATTTTGATATGATATATGGATTTTGCAAAACTGTAGAAAGGATGGTCCAGTTTTTTTAAAGGGTAGTGGTGCCACAGATACAGGTACTAACTAGAAAAAAAATCAACCCTATTTCTCAAGAAAATGTGAGATATAATTTCAAATTCTTGGCATTTTTTCACAGGTTCAATGCCACAGTTACACAGGCTACTGTTGGTGTGTCACCCCTAATGGTCGTCCAATTGGTGGTACAGCGGTAGCACATAAAACTCCACGTTGCCCAGGTAACTATATGTACATTATTGTGGCAGAAGCTATTTTTCCTTTTTCTTGGTCTCTATCATGATACACTGAATCAAAGTATCCGCATACATAAATTAACCTGCCAAATTAAGTATTTGTTTATTATTGTACCTTTTTATTCAATTGGTTCTGCTAACAACAAATAAAATGTAGAATACAAAAAAAGGTAATTCAAAAGTGCACTTAACAATTAACAATTAAGAAATAAAAGAAAGTCAAGTAAAATTATTTACTTGATAGAATCAAGATGACATGAAGTACTAATGCCACTTTATAATGCCTTGGTAAGACCATACTTGGAATACTGCATCCAGTTTTGGTCACCATGATGTGAAAAAAGATGGTGAAACTCTAGGAGTGCAGAGAAGAGCAACAAAGATGATTAGGGGACTGGAGGCTAAAACATAGGAAGAACAGTTGCTGGAATTGGATATGTCTAGTTTAATGAAAAGAAGGACTAGGAGTGACATGATAGCAGTGTTCCAATATCTAAGGGGTTGCCACAAAGAAGAGGGAGTCAACTATTCTCCAAAACACCTGAGGGCAGGACAAGAAGCAATGGGTGGAAACTAATCAAGGAGAGAAGCAACCTAGAACTAAGGAGAAATGTCCTGTCAGTTGGAATAGTTAATCAGTGGAACAACACTGGAAGTTTTCAAGAAGAGATTGGACAACCATTTGTCTGAAATAATATAGGGTTTCTTGCCTAAGCAAGTGGTTGGACTAGAATACCTTCAAGGCCCCTTCCAACTCCATTGTTCTGTTCTGTTCTGTTTTGTAAAGTGAGGGCTGAATGCATTCTCTATCTTAGAAGGAACATAGTTGAATGTCAGGTAAATGACTCTCTAACCTCAGGAGAGGAGGAAAAGAGGGAGACAGCGAGCCCATCAGCCAGCTAGCCAGTTTGGTATAGCAGATGAAGCTCAGACTAGAAACCATGAGAAATGAGTTCTAGTCCCACCTTAGGCATGAAGCCAGCTGGATGACCTTGGGCTGGTCATTCTCTGTCAGCCCTAGGAAGGGGGCAACGGCAAACTACTTCCAGAAAAACTGTGCCAAGAAAACTGCATAGGACTAATCCACACAGTCACAGAAATCAACAATGACTGAAATGTGGGTCTTTGTCCATGCACACACACACATATTAAAAAAAGAAACCAGGAGGGTCACCACTGCAGATTTGTAAGTGTGAACCTTCAGATAACTTGCCCCTAAGCCATTTGGGGTTCTGGAAGTGCACCTTATCACATGTCTTATAAACAATTTCCAAACAGTTATGACCTTCAGTTCTAATTTTATGTGTTCCCTGTATCATATCGCTGATTAGAAACCTAGCTGTCCCATTTTACACCAGTTGCAACTGGATACTTTTCAAAAGTAGACCAAGTAGAGAACTTGCAATAGTCTAATTTATATTTTGGCAATTTTGGCACCTATAAATCTATTATACTTTCTTCTTGGTTTCCGTGAGGTTTGGTTTCCTATCATTTTAGTGGAGCCATGAACTTTATGTCACAGAGTAATATATAAGTGTACTTTAAAACAATAAACCAATTTCCTGCTGACCTTATTTTAAGAAGTATAATTTAATAAATCTTCAATGCAAAATTCAAATGACCCGAGCATGACATTTGGCTGCAATTCTATACTTGGGATTCTGGCATAAATTTTATTATGGTCAATTATGTGCATTCATAAAAAATGACAGTGGAATTATTCTGGGGGAGAAGTTTGTATATGAATATATAATTAGTGTTCTCCAAGTTAGCTTTAGATTTTCAATCCAAGCTAATGGCTGAAAACCTGACTGTTTTGTAAATGTATGACTTTTCCAATATTACTTTTTTGAAGTACAAAATTGGCATTTTTGTAAATGCAAAAAAAAAAAAAAATACTAAGGACAAAACAGGATAGTTTTGGATCATCTTGCAATCACATGGCAATTGTCCATATTTTGATTTTCTCAAGAGAAAAAAAATTGCCATTGTAGTAGTGCTTCAGTTATGAAATCCAAAAAATTTCCTTTACAAATTTGCTCTTTGGATATCATGTTACCAGTATTTCTAAGGCACTGATTGAAAACATTATTATATTTGTCCACCATGTAGTAGCTTGTGTGGATTACAAACTACCAATATAAATATCATCTTGTTGGTAAAGACCAAAAAGCATAATACTAAATAAAAAAGATATTCCCCAAATAATTTGAGATCTGCACAGTTCATAACTGTTCCCATTAGCACAGTTGCTTATAGTATTTTGGAGAATCAGGTAGCCTGCTTATTAGCAAATCAGGGTCTAGAAAGCATCATTGGGAGTGATCCCGAAAACTGAAGCAAAATGTTTATCCTAAGAAATCCTTGGGACTGAAGATTGAGATGATTTTGGTGAATTGCATGATGTATGACCAAATCCCTTTTCTATTTCTTGTTTACTAATTTTATTTTGAATCCTAGTTGATGTTCATACTGTTAACATATAAAATAAACTTAAAGAAAAAAAAAGATACGGTTTTAGAAGATCCGCAATACAAATTCAAATAAGTGTCATGTTACATTGAACATCATATCAGGAAATAATAGAATCATGTCAACTTTGGGGAGAAAAAAGTCAGAGTGAGTTCAAAACAGCAATCATTAATACTTGTTCTGAAAGACCGTGTTTAAAACAATGTATGTTTCCTTCCTATTTTAAATATAAATTCAGATTTGCCTCAGATACTGTTATTAATTGTGGTTTTGTTGCTACTATTGGTGTGTTTTCAATATTCCAAGTAAATCTTTTAAAAAACCTCTATCAGGTGGGAAAAATAGTGAGTTGAAAATGTAAAATACTAACACCCCCCACCCCCCGTTCGCTCTGTCTGTCTGCCTGTCTGTCTTTCTGTCTCTTCTTTATAATCTATCCCAAATTATATATTTGATAGATTGTGTTTTTATAATGTACAATACTCAACTCAGTTTGGTGATCCTTTAGATGTAGACATGATTCTTGGACAAGTGACCGCAGCTGGCTATCTATCGGCTTGGCCTTGTGCATCCTGTCTTATTAAAGCAGCTGAATATTTGGATAAATAAAACAGGGCCATGTTCAGGGAGAACCATGGAAGAAAGCAGTGTAGCATTCTTCATGGAGAAAAAAATGTTTGTTTTTCATCAGTATTTTTATGCAAATTATGGAGCAGGTCATGAAGGAAGCACACAGTCATGACTGTCAGATATAAGCCCATAATCTTATAAAATACATATCGTGCAGCCACCCTCTCTGTGTTTGCTAGATTGTTCATCAGAATCATAATTGCCCCAACTCAAATGGTGAAGGAATTTTATTGTTCTCTTAAGTCATTTGTTTTCAAAAGTCTTCCAGGTGTAAAGGTGGAATTAATCATTGCAAACAAAGGAGCATATAAATCTATCTAATCAAAAGTGGTGGAAAGCTTTAACAACATTATACCATGATATACTATTCTATACCAGATCGGGCCACTCCTAATAAAACAATAATAAGAACTTCAACAAAAAATCCTGCATACCTCTATGGATCTTCTCTTTTGTTCTCCCCTTCCCCCCCCAAAATGGCTGGTATATCAGTAAAACTGTCCCTGTTCACAAGCATCTAATATTTGAAGATCTATTTCCAATAGAGGAAGCGATCTGGAGGAAAGAATGAAAAATGATCTCATTCACTAATTCTTAGTTACAATGTTTTTAAAGGCCAAACAGAAAGCAGTTGAAGGAGAGAAGTCAATAAATAAAAAGTAGGGTTTCCCGCTGAGCTAATGGAGTAATCCTGTTCCGTCTTTCTCTCTTCCGTAGCCTGATGGAATGGCTGCTGCCAAGTGGCACTTGATGGAGAGAGGAACATGGCTTTCCACTACAGTCAATGGCAGCTGTATTTCCTTCAGGAAACAGTTCCCTTCAATTTGGGTTTTTGGTTTGGTTTTGGGAAAGAAATTGCCTTGGGTATCCTAATAAATCCTTTGCCCATAGTAATCCCTTTGATGTGTCAATAAAATGGTTTCCAGATCTTAAGGATTTTCCCCCAAAGGCAATAAATGGAAGATCTAACAGCAGCAGGCAATCCTCTCCAAACAAATAAGTTCCAGTAAATTCAGCATATTTTACAATTTTTTTGAATGCACGTATGAGCATGATGTAGCCAAGGTTCAGTGTGAATTGAGGAGAATTTTGACCATTGGAGATTACTCGGAACATGGTATTTTTGCAGAAACATCAGTGTAACTGGAGTTAATGTAACTTGTACCAACCACAAGTTTTAAAGTAAATCTAACTTGAAGCTACTCACACCAGTTTCTGATAAACAAAAAGCTAATTGCAAATTATGAAACAGGAGCTTGTGACATTTGTCTTTTGGATCACATATTTCACATAAAAAGGAATCTTTCAAAAGTTGGAATTTCAAGTATCTGTATTTTGTAGCTGGCAAGTATTTATTTAGATGGAAATGCGTGCATATTACATTGCTATACTTTGTGTGTTTCTTGCATTCTTTTGGACCATGCCTTTAAAGTTGAAGAGCTGCAAAAAAGCTTATTTTAAAGCCTATATACCTCCAGCCTAAATTTATTACAAGATAAATTAATTACTAACAGTGTTATCTAAGACTCAATTCCTTTGGATTTTCTTTCTTAATTATTGGGCACTGGCAATACTCCTATCTATTACCACTGTCTGGCTATTCACTGTTTGATGGTCTGGTTGAATCTTCACTAGTTTTATTCAGGTTATACCCATTAGACCATATTTTATAACTAATGTAAATGTCCTTGATCCAAGCTTCTTGGTAAGTAGTTTATTGATTGACTGAAATCTCTGATAATTTGTATTGACTTTTATGCTGACGTATGTAGTGTAATTCTTTGTCAATAGCATCCCAGATTGTTTTGATTGCCACTGTTTCAACTTCTTCCAGGCAAAACTAATTAGATAATTGTATATGGAGTTTCTCAGACATCCAAGTCATGGTTGTCCCCAAAGTGCTTTTTTAAAAAAACCCATAACTGGACTTCCTTGATTTTTCATGAAGACATTTCATTTCTCATCCAAGAAGTTTCTTCAATTCTAACTAACTGATGGGGAATCTCATTAACTCTCTGTCATTGAAACACCTGGGTTATAATGGGAATATAAATAGCAATAGCACTTAGGCTTATTTACTGCTTCATACTGCTTCATAGCTCTCTCTAAGTGGTTTAGAGAGCCTTAACAATCTGGGTCCTCATTTTACCAGCCTTGGAAGGCTGGAAGGCTGAGTCAACCAAATCCTTTCTATTGTTCACCAGTTGATTAGAGCTGAAGAAGCTTCTTGGATGAGAGGTGAAATGTCTTCAAGAAAAACATAAGAAGCCTAGTTGCATTTTGAAAGAAGCACTTTTTGGGGAAATTTAGCTAAGTTTTTGTTCATCATTATTTTCAAATAAGGCAGGTTTGAGCTTGAACCCATTGATATATTTTCTTCTCTTATGTACTCTCTGTTGAAGATAAAAAGTATTAAGCTGTGTTGTAACTCATAATAGAGAGGCAGATCTCTCCATACACCGTTAGTCTGCTATTGTGAGAGCACAGGACAACTTGAAAGCTACAGCGTCTTCATTGTCTGCATAAAATTAAATGTTCCCATCCTCCACAAACTGTTGAAATGCACCAGATGCAACCCAGACATTTTTACTACTCCCAAGTCAAGAGATCAAAATTTAGGGAGCTAAAAGAAATTCCAGAGATATTGAGCCTTTGGGAAAGGGAAGGAAATTTTGAAACAGGTGTTCATTTCTTGCTGAAAGGTATCTTTTATAAGATTTCCCTCCAATTGTGTGGTGTTTTTTTTTTTTTTACAATATCTTAAAATACAAGGCACATGCAGTATCTCTTGTTTTCTTCTATAAAAGTTTCCTATGAGCACTGTAAGTTCCAGGGATATAGAATATTTTATAGAATGACACATTATGAAAGGAAAGCCTTCTTCTTCTCTTTTCTATATTAATAAATGCCTAAACAGTGATTGGCCTGCTGCCTTTGAAATTTGGTGACACGACTAAATACTTTCAATGCTTCTTACATTACCTTGTTTTTGCTCTGTGTTTAGGATCTCTAAATGAGAAGCTGCCACAGCGTGAAGGTACAGGAAAAACAGGTAAATATCATAATATTTAATATTATAAATTACATATGTATAATCAGTCTCCATTAAATAGGAAAAGTTGTTTTCTTTTATACAGATTCAGTATATTTCAGTGAATCCAAAAAAAGCAACCCACCTTCTTATTTCATTATTAAAAGCTGTGGTGGCACAGTGGTTAGAATGCAGAACTGCAGCTACTTCTTCTGACTGCCGGCTGCCTGCATTTTGGCAGTTCAAATCTCACCAGGCTCAAGGTTGACTCAGCCTTCCATCCTTCCGAGGTTGGTAAAATGAGGAGCCTGTTGGTTGGGGGATAATATGCTAATTCTGTAAGTCGCTTAGAGAGAGCTGTAAAGCATTCTGAAGTGGTATATAAGTATAAGTGCTATTGTTATTAAACCTAGGATTAACATCAGACCCGTAACCATTTATTCCTAGAAAAGTTTGGAGTTACCGTTTAATGAAGTATTTGGAATATCTGATTTTTTTCCTGAATATATCTCAGTATGAACTGAGAACAATGGTATATGCTTCCTTGATTATTATTATTTTTTTGGCTATACCTAGATGAAAAATAATGTTGGTTCCTTTGCATTGCACTTAAACATTGGAGGGTATTAATCTCTGCAGCAATGATGTTACTTAGTTTAGTAATGAAGTATCTCAAAAAATGTTCAGAGAGCACGAAGGATTCTACAAGTCTGCTACTCCTTGGAGAAACTTGAGGTAGCACTTAGTAGTCATCAATCTAATAAGAGTAACTGTCCAGAGGAATTCAAAGCAACAGCTTGAATCCAGGCCTCCCCAATCCAAAGGCAGCATCACATAACTTTGAGTTGTGCATCCTGCCATTTCAAGCATCTACCTTCATACATTTTTGAAAATGAATTTCCCTGGTGGTAGAGAGGTCCATCTAAATGCATTTATAGAAAGTTATATCTCTTTGAGAATATTCTAGCTGAACGTTTCTGAGTACAAGCTGGAATGTGGTTCTAACCTACTCCAAATGAAAATAAATATGGATAATTATTCATATGTAGAATTATAACATACTTTATTCTGTATCGGTTTGGCAAAGTGAGATGTAAATATTTAAAAGCAGATCATTTACATTCTGAAATTATCCAGGATTAAATGGAGACAACCATGGAAAAAAGCAGGACAGTAATAATGAAAAGGGAGTAAGAAAAAAAATACTGTTGCAACTCTAATCTTAGCTAGATATAAGCAGTGACATCCCTTTCACATCAAAGTTTTAAACTTTTATTCTGTGACTTAACTGAGAAGGTGCAGAGGTGGTATAATTATTGAAGTAAAAACATTTCTGAAAATATTTGAGGAGGAGCATTTCCTTACTTGAAAGCTTTTGAGCAAAGCCAAGAAAATGAACCAGCAAAGCTTTTCCCTGACCCCAAGATTTGTAATTTTCATTGAACCACGGGAAGTTCCCAAGCTACAGCAAATCCCAAAGATGTTAATATTAGGTATATTGTTTTCACTTTTTACACTTAGGACTCGGTATTCGACTCCAAGGGATGCATGCTATCTTTTCTTTTCTCTCCCTCCCCCCACCCCCACATCCTTCTCAAAGGGAACAGGCTCACTCTGTGAATTGTTAATGTTCTGTTGAGATACAAAGAAAAATCAGAGGCCTTGATAGCACTTCTCGCTAATAATACTCATGGATTTCTAAGCTACTACATGGGTTTATAGTTCTTATAATATGGGACAGGAAGCATGATAGCTTAGCAGTTAAAACACAGTAGATAATTTTGTGTGCTAGCCTTAAGTCTAACCGTAGGTGGCGTAGTTCAAGGTTGTCCAAGCCCAAAATCTCAAGCCTGGTGGTATAAGGTATTCTCTTGTGAGCAGAGGAGTGTAGTACTCTTCTTGTGAAATACTTCTGGACTCGCTCGATTATATTAATGTTCGATATGCAGTCCGGATTCCAGACTGATGAGCTGTATTCGAGTACTGGTCTGGCAAAAGTTTTGTATGCTTTAGCAATTTGATATTTCCGGAGGAGAAACTTCATAAGATTAGATTTACAACTCTTAAATTAAATTAAATTAAATTAAATTAAATTAAATTAAATTAAATTAAATTA